AGGAAGTTTTGGTTTGAACTCATCAAACTTTCCTTCATGAAATGCAAGCAATACGAAGTAATCTGCAGTATCACCAAGAAGACCACTAGATATATTTCCTCTCATCAGTCTAGCTGACATGTGTCGACCATTTCTTGTTTCATTTGTTCATTTTCTTTCTTCAATTGTCCACAAGCTACAGCTAATAGTGTCGAGTGTTTAATAGCAATAGCTTGTACATGTACATGTACATCTTTACGTAATGGCTTATCTTTACAACCAGCCCAACTAAACACACAATCTACTCGCTCTAATGGACACTCATTGATATGAGCAGCGAGACTACCTCGTGGCATTTCAGTAGACACACATTTATTGGGACAAGTAACAGGATACTGCCTGCATTCCTCATAATGATCCTTTGTAATAGAGAGGAACATACCTTTCCTCCTGCAGTATTGGCATTGAAATGGACGTTGAGGACATTCTTTATCTTCATGATCCTCAAGATGTCTACGTTGCTTTCTCTCTTGACATTTTCGATATCGACACTTCACTTCTTCATATTGACATTCTCCTTCTCTCTTCTCTTTATTAAGATGAGTAGACATATTCTTCAATTCTCCTTTCCATTGACATCCTTTCTCCTTATTACTGCAGTAGACCTCCAATCCATTGATAATACGTGAACACTTCTTGTCAGGTATTGCTTGATATTCCTTCTCGTTACACATAGGACAGGATCCATTACTAGTTTTTACTCTCTCAATACAAGACCCACAGAAATTATGTCCACAGCAGCTCACAATATGAGGATCTGTCAATAATTTCAGACAAACCAGACACTCTATCTCCATATGCTTAGGAAGATCCTCAACAAAAGAAAGCTCTTCTTTACTGAACTGGGCCATTATTATTCTTACAGTATAATATTAGTATCATGTGATCTATTTCATGTGATTATTATTACAAACAGGTACAGTGTACATAATTGTGCTACTGTCATGTTGATGTCAGAAACTTTTGAAGAGAGTTAAGTGTGGTAATAATGTCATTGAACGATCAAATGTTAGGATCATAGTATCAATTTTTAAAGTAATGCTTACGTAGCTAATATTAAAAATTATTCAGCAAATTTTTAAAGTAGATGTTTCCTGAAAGATACGTATAGCGTGACCATTTTATCATAATACATGTACATGTATACATAACGTATGGACTAATTTGATTTCAACAATAATGTAATCATTTGCTTGCTTAGACCCACCCATTAAAAGTATATTCATCATGTATAGATTGTATACAGTTATTACTGTACATGTACTTACTTAGTGTGATGGAGCAGAGTGTAGGTGGACCAACCACAAAATGAACATTATTAACAAGACAGTACTCCTGGGGCTACAATAAAGAAATAAAAACATTATTAAGTACAGTATAGCCAACTTGGCATAGCCTGATGAATCTATAAAAGCCATTTAATACTGAGCTACATGTAGTGACTTGGAATAATAAGATTAAGTTTCACAGCTATTGTAAGGCTCAAATATGGAGTGACAGCTACTATTGACATGCTAACTCATCAATAAAAGCAGGATGACTCAACATAAGTACATGTACATGTACATGTACATTGAAATATCTGTAACTAGTGACATTAGACTGTAAATATAAACTACACCAAAATTGCACATCAAATTGAAATCTGTGATTCAACTGTAAGTGACCACCACATGCACATAAGCTGTGTGTACATGCAATAGATTCTCTCTTTCTGCATGTGCAAGTTAAGCCTCCTCCCTTACTCTCATTTGAGGGTATTTCTGATGAGGGAGTAACTGGTTCTTCCATACATAAGGTCTCTGCTTCTTCACTTCATCTCTGTACATTATATGACCTTGATAACAATACACCACCTGAACAGGGAGTAATAATAAATAATAATAATAATAATAATAATAATAATGATAATAATAATAATAATAATAATAATGATAATAATAATAATAAATAAATAAATAAATATAATAGTAATAGAGTGACTGACTATGTCCCCCACTTGAGGGTAATATGGTGATACTTGAGGTGAGTTCATCTTCAGCCAGTCAGTCGGCCAATAGATACTGTAATCAAACCCTTTCCTAACCTGGAGGAGGAGAAGGAGAGAGGGAACATGTCAACAAAATGAAATACATGTACAGTGTACAGATACATGTACGTTGTACGTTGCAAATACACTAAAAACTACACAATACTGTTTCCTCTAATTTTGTAGTTAAAACAATTAACTAAACCAAGAGATTCACAAATAATTTCTCAATATTGAAAGATTTGAACTACATGTACATGTACTTGTACATACCGTATAGCTAGAAAATTTGGTGGAGTAAAACTTGGGCGAATTTGGCAAATTGAGGTCCATTTGCCAAATTTTTAGTTTCCAATTTGATAAGGCTCCATAGAAGCATACACAGAGTTAAAATTTCACCAAAATTTTAACCTCCAAACCTCTTTTGGAGTCAATTCGCCAAATTTTAACACTCCAAATTTTCTAGCTATACTGTATTATGCCAAATTCCTTCCCATTACTTTTTTCACAGTGTGTTTAGTCTCCATTGGTTTAGTATCATTATTAGCAGTAGTACTGCTGGTATTGGTTGATGATGATAGTAACACTCCTGATCTAACTGTCCTCCTAACCCTACCCCCTCCTCCTCCTCCCTCTCTATCTCTCAGTCTCTCCTCTTCATCAATAGTCACTTCTGATGGGATCTCAGATACTGTGGACTCTCTAAAGGGGTGGGGCAGTGGGAGTGGCCAGGAAAAAAAGGTGAGGGGCAGAATGAAAGAATACATTAATAACAATTGACAATGTAGAAAAGTCGTTAAAGTACAATTTTAGTAAAATTTATCACAAAATGCCTGTATACGTCCATTGTACCTTCTCCTGTTCTTTCTTGTTCTGTTGTTGGAGAGTGATGGATTATAAGGAGCTGCTTCATTGGCCCAATCTGATATATCACTGGAGGCAGTACTGCAGGACATATCAATGAGGAATAAAGAGAGAAATAGAAATACATGTATTATGTACAAGTAAGTACATGTACTAATGCTAATAGCACCATTAAAATACCCAAGGCTATAGCCTATGATTTTTTCTGAAAAAGGGCTCCAAAATCACCCCAAATTTTTATTACATTTTCTGATACATATTGATGTCCTTATGCTGAGTAAAAAGTTTGAGTTGCTTCCGACTTCAAATTTTCAAGCTACGGCCATTTTAAGAAAATGCCAAAATTCTAAAAAATACCCAAGGCTATAGCCCATGGTTTTTTTTTGAAAAATGGCCAAAAAAATCACCCCAAATTTTTATTACATTTTCTGATACATATTGATGTTTTTAAACTGTGTAAAAAGTTTGAGCTGTTTCTGACTTCAAATTTTCAAGTTACAACCATTTTAAGAAAATGCCTAAATTCTAAAAAATACCCAAGGCTATAGCCCATGGTTTTTTCTGAAAAATGGCTCCGAAATCACCCCAAATTTTTATTACATTTTCTGATACACATTGATGTTCTTTAACTGTGTAGAAAGTTTGAGCTGATTCTGACTTCAAATTTTCAAGTTACAACCATTTTAAGAAAATGCCTAAATTATAAAAAATACCCAAGGCTATAGCCCATGTTTTTTTCTGAAAAATGGTTCCAAAATTACCCCAAATTTTTATTACATTTTCTGATACATATTGATGTACTTAAACTGTGTAGAAAGTTTGAGCTAATTCTGATAAATATTTTTCAAGTTACAGCCATTTTAACTAATTTGCACTAATTAATTAATTAATTCAATTAATAATCCTAATGGTTACCTCCCAGTGTCCCACCCCTCATCAATGAGAGCGTCACTGTCACTATCTCCCTCATGGACAGGAGGACTGGCCCCTCCCCTCTCCCCCTCCTCATATTCATAATATCCACTGAACTCCCTAGTGTCTATTGTACGACCACTTCTCAATGACCGACCCTCTGGAGTCGGAGGGGAAGGAACCTACAGGACAAGAGGAATGAGGGAGTATATTAATAAGATATGTAAATATATACAATGTACACATACATTGTACACATTGTATATAAATGTACGTGTATATTATGGAGAAAATTTGAGGGGATATCAATCAAGTTTAGGTTTCATACAATTTTGACCTGATTCAAATCAAGTTTGGATTTGTTATAAATTTTTTAAGTTG